CTCATCAATGTATCTCGCCACTTTATCTCTCATCAATGTATCTCACCACTTTATCTCTCATCAATGTATCTCACCACTTTCTCTCTCATCAATGTTTCTCACCACTTTATCTCTCATCAATGTATCTCGCCACTTTATCTCTCATCAATGTATCTCACCACTTTATCTCTCATCAATGTATCTCGCCACTTTATCTCTCATCAATGTATCTCACCACTTTATCTCTCATCAATGTATCTCGCCACTTTCTCTCTCATCAATGTATCTCGCCACTTTATCTCTCATCAATGTATCTCACCACTTTATCTCTCATCAATGTATCTCACCACTTTCTCTCTCATCAATGTATCTCACCACTTTATCTTTCATCAATGTATCTCGCCACTTTCTCTCTCGTCAATGTATCTCACCACTTTATCTCTCATCAATGTATCTCACCACTTTCTCTCTCATCAATGTATCTCGCCACTTTATCTCTCATCAATGTATCTCACCACTTTATCTCTCATCAATGTATCTCGCCACTTTCTCTCTCATCAATGTATCTCGCCACTTTATCTCTCATCAATGTATCTCACCACTTTATCTCTCATCAATGTATCTCACCACTTTATCTCTCATCAATGTATCTCACCACTTTCTCTCTCATCAATGTATCTCACCACTTTATCTCTCATCAATGTATCTCAGCACTTTATCTCTCATCAATGTATCTCACCACTTTCTCTCTCATCAATGTATCTCACCACTTTATCTCTCATCAATGTATCTCACCACTTTCTCTCTCATCAATGTATCTCACCACTTTCTCTCTCATCAATGTATCTCACCACTTTCTCTCTCATCAATGTATCTCACCACTTTATCTCTCATCAATGTATCTCGCCACTTTATCTCTCATCAATGTATCTCACCACTTTATCTCTCATCAATGTATCTCACCACTTTATCTCTCATCAATGTATCTCACCACTTCATCTCTCATCAATGTATCTCACCACTTTATCTCTCATTAATGTATCTCACCACTTTATCTCTCATCAATGTATCTCACCACTTTATCTCTCATCAATGTATCTTGCCACTTTATCTCTCATCAATGTATCTCGCCACTTTATCTCTCATCAATGTATCTCACCACTTTATCTCTCATCAATGTATCTCACCACTTTATCTCTCATCAATGTATCTCACCACTTTATCTCTCATCAATGTATCTCGCCACTTTATCTCTCATCAATGTATCTCACCACTTTATCTCTCATCAATGTATCTCACCACTTTATCTCTCATCAATGTATCTCGCCACTTTCTCTCTCATCAATGTATCTCACCACTTTATCTCTCATCAATGTATCTCACCACTTTATCTCTCATCAATGTATCTCAGCACTTTATCTCTCATCAATGTATCTCGCCACTTTATCTCTCATCAATGTATCTCACCACTTTATCTCTCATCAATGTATCTCAGCACTTTATCTCTCATCAATGTATCTCGCCACTTTATCTCTCATCAATGTATCTCACCACTTTATCTCTCATCAATGTATCTCACCACTTTCTCTCTCATCAATGTATCTCACCACTTTATCTCTCATCAATGTATCTCACCACTTTATCTCTCATCAATGTATCTCACCACTTTATCTCTCATCAATGTATCTCGCCACTTTATCTCTCGTCAATGTATCTCAGCACTTTATCTCTCATCAATGTATCTCACCACTTTCTCTCTCATCAATGTATCTCAGCACTTTATCTCTCATCAATGTATCTCACCACTTTATCTCTCATCAATGTATCTCACCACTTCATCTCTCATCAATGTATCTCACCACTTTATCTCTCATCAATGTATCTCACCACTTTCTCTCTCATCAATGTATCTCGCCACTTTATCTCTCGTCAATGTATCTCAGCACTTTATCTCTCATCAATGTATCTCACCACTTTCTCTCTCATCAATGTATCTCACCACTTTCTCTCTCATCAATGTATCTCACCACTTTATCTCTCATCAATGTATCTCACCACTTTATCTCTCATCAATGTATCTCACCACTTTATCTCTCATCAATGTATCTCACCACTTTATCTCTCATCAATGTATCTCACCACTTTCTCTCTCATCAATGTATCTCGCCACTTTATCTCTCATCAATGTATCTCACCACTTTATCTCTCATCAATGTATCTCACCACTTTCTCTCTCATCAATGTATCTCACCACTTTATCTCTCATCAATGTATCTCGCCACTTTATCTCTCATCAATGTATCTCAGCACTTTCTCTCTCGTCAATGTATCTCACCACTTTATCTCTCATCAATGTATCTCACCACTTTATCTCGCTCTCTCGATACAGTTGTGTAGAGTTCCATCTTGTAACTCAATTGTAACCCACGTCCCAAAATCGCGGAAAGCAAGTTCGTGAATACCGAGGGAATACTGCCCTGCCTACCGGCGTCCATTACAACCAACTAATTGGCGTCATCTG